TGCAGTACCGCGGGGGTCAGAGAGGGCTCAGAGGGGGGCTGCTGCCCCCCGTGCCTCCCAGGACATGGCTCCGTTACCCCCTGTGTGCCCCACACGGCCTCCAGCCACAGCTGCGCCAGAGAGACGGGGGAAAACCTGGGTAAGGGTTCAGACCTAAGTTTAGGAAGATGTGACACAAACTGCACATGGTTGTAAGGTTGAGAAGTAGTCCTGGGTCAGGTGTGGGAGGCTGTGACTGGTCTCGGGGCCTGGTGGAGATAGCTGTGGCCACCCCCCAGAAGGAGACAGAAAGGGCTGTTGTCACCTGGTGCCCAGGAGAGGAAAGGGCAGTGCATGCAGCTCTCAGACAGCAGCTGTCTTGCTTAGGAGTTCTCACTGAGAATCGGCTAATAATATGGGATGTAACATAGAAAAGCCTTTTCAAACCCACCATGAATCCCACATCCCACAGTCATTTCACTGGAATTAATAAAGATTTTTGGTCTCTTTCCCAGTTCTCAAAATTCTATTAAAAAAGCCTATAACAATTGTGAGATAAAGTTTGATATTGGCTGCTGGGATTTTTATGAACTGAATCTCAGACTGCCTTCATTCTTGCCTTGCCCTGCACGTTTTCTGTCCAGCCTTACAGTTTCCTTGGGGCTATCCCTGTGCAGACGCCCTTTGAGGATGCTCTGCCTGGGTGAACTCGGGTCCCTGCTCTGTTCCAAAAGCTGCCCTAGGTTTTGTTTGGAGGAGTTTGCTCTCAAGCAGAGCGTGGTTGGTGGTGTCCAGCCCTCTTCTGTCAGCTGTCCATCGTCCACCCCCTCCTCTGCGGGACAGACCGAAACAACCCAGTGGCCTTGGCTCTGTGGGAGAGATTCAGCAGAGTATTTTTAAAGGAACCATGACAGTAGGGAACGTGAACCAGCAGAGCCCTGGGGGTCACTGTGCCCTGTCCCCTGCTCCCAGGTGCTGTACGAGGATTGCCGGATGGTGGCTGTGAGCGCCCCGTACGTGGCGGGGTTCTTGGCCTTCCGGGAGGTCCCTTTCCTGGTGGAAGCTGTTCAGAGACTACAGCAGGAGCAGCCCGAGCTCGAGCCTCAGGTGTGGGACGTTTCTCTGGGTGGTGCTGAGGTGGCAGGAGGGTGCTCTCCCTCCCTGGGCACGGGCTGCCACACAGCTGCTGTGTTGACAGCGCGGTGCCGCGGCCGTTGCCCTGTCCTTGGGGCCGAGGGTGCTGAGCCAAGAGCAGCCAGGCCTGCCCTGGCAGGGGGTGCTGCACCCACCCTGAGCTCACACTTGTGTTGGGAGGACCAAAAGAGACTTCTCCTGCCTCACAGGGCCACCATCACTGAGGGCTTGTTGAAGCACTATCAAGCACACAAGAAATAACGTTTCTGTTTGGGGTTTTTCAGGTGCTTCTTGTAGATGGGAATGGCCTCCTCCATCCCAGAGGTAAGCCTTGCTGGAAGCCCTGCTCTCCAGTGTCCCCGTGCTGCTGCTTGAGACTCCTCTGGTGTCCTGTGGTTACAGTGGTCGTTGTTGGCAGGGTTTGGTGTGGCCTGTCACCTCGGAGTCCTGACGGATCTGCCATGCATTGGAGTGGCCAAGAACCTCCTGCATGTGGATGGCTTGGCCAGGGACGAGCTGCACAAAGAAAAAGTTAGGCTGGGCTGGGATCTCTTTAAAGATGTCTTTAATGTCCCGAGGGATCTGGGACAGCTGCATACAAGTACTTCCTGAGCCACTGACCTCATGTGTGTTTCTCCCTAGGTTCGTTCCCTGCAGCAGGGAGGAGACTCGTTCCCACTGACGGGCACCTCGGGGGCAGTCCTGGGCATGGTATGCTGGGGGGGCTCCCTCTTCCCTTGCCCCTCAAGGCTCCCAGCCTTGTGCAGCTGAGAGCACTGCAGGGTGTCCTCTCTATAGTGGGGCTGTCTCCGTGGCGTTAGCTCAGGAAGAGAGGGTGTGAGCAGTGACCAGTCCCTGCCCTGCCTGCTCTGTGAGCTCAGACACACACAGGGAGTCAGCAGTTCAGGTGGGGGGTGTGTTTCCCACCCGTGCCCATCCCACACCACACTCCAGCACCAGGCCTGTGGAGAGGAGCTGTTTGCAGCAGCTGGCTGGGCGGTGATATGGGGGTGTCTGCCTCAGAGGAGCAATGCCCAGGAAGCAGGCAGATGTCAGAGACCTCCTGCAGCTGGTGTGAGTTCAGTGCAGTCTGCATTAGCAAGAGTCTCCACAGAGCAGCATGAGCCATTTGGGGGAAGGCCACAGGGGCAAACAGTCCCTAGGAGAAGCCCCTGAGGAGCAGGGGATCAAGAGGGTTGGGAGTTACCAAAGGCAGAGCCACCATCCCACCTTCTGAAGGCCACCAGCTAGCTTGTAGTTTATCTGCCTCCCTGTGTGCGTTAAAATAAGCCTCTCAAGCATTTGATCTTTGTTGTTTCTGAACGCCCAGGCCCTGCGCAGCTGCAGCAGCAGCTCCAAGCCCCTGTACGTCTCGGTGGGTCACAGGGTGTGCCTGCAGACCGCCGTGCGGCTGGTCAGCTCCTGCTGCAGGCACCGCCTCCCGGAGCCCATCCGGCAGGTACGGCGGCAGGGGAGGGGC